CTTTCAGTACTGGATACCGTACTGGCATCTATACACAGAGGAATAATGTACAAACAATTTCGAATAATTTCTTTAGCGTTGTCAGCGGTACAAAGGAAGTAATAGAATCAGACCGTGCAAAAGAATTTGGGTTTAAAAAGCTATACTACTCCTACAATTCCATTCAAACAGAACATACACGGAATATTGAAACAACAATTTCCTTGTTTGTCGGATAGCTGAAATAGCATGCCATTTATCACCCCGCATCAAGATCTTATTTGTATGCATTGGTAGTTCGTTTCAACTCCCTACTCGTAAACGTAGGGCACAGATTAATGGATCACAGCTGCATTCGAAGAACACGATCAAAATTCATATACGCTTTTAACCTGCACATATTCCCGAGGCGTAGTAATGAAAACTGATTCGCAGGGATGGCTACGAGGTGACAACAATATCCGGGATGCGACCATAACAAGCGTGCATCGAACGGCAGTTTTTAATTTAGACGGGATATTGAGGTGACAGACTGGCCGGTCAGTAGCTTCAAATATTCGCAATAACTTGGAGCCCGCTGAATGGAAACGGGCGGTGTTCGATCCCATTTCACGGACTTGGGGCGACCCTGCCTCGAAAATAACAGATATCCCCCCATGGAAAATACAGCCCATCGATCCACGCTCCCACAGCTAAAATTGAAAGGCCCGCATGCTCGTTCACAAACACACGCGCACCTAGTTACATAAACTCTGCGATTTCATCTGTCCTCTTTTCCCGAGATCCCTTTGTCAGTAACCAGAATGAATCATTCATTTCACGCACACGCATGGTAATCAAGTTTTCCAAATGCCACAGTGTTTGGCCTCGCTGCTTCGATTCAACATGCGCTGAAAGGCGGGAATTTTTGCGTCCACGATTACGCACGCTCCGAGAATCACATACATATGAAGCCGGAAAATCCGACGAATATCCGAAATTCACAAAGGGGGAAATGGAAATGGACGAAGAAAGGAAACCCGGATGGTAAAAGAAAACGGAGAGCATTCGAACTTTTTATACCAGAAAGCTCCCTAGTTCTCACTCGGAACCTAATTTGACCTGCTTCGGTAGTATGCTTTGAGGAGCAAAAACATTACATTAAAAGTATAATGCCTATCGTTCTCAGAGAATAACGAGAAATAAGAAAGAACAATAAGCGTAGTAAGATAAATTCCATGCTGGCAAATTCAGTGTATGGTAATTCATAATGATTAGTAAGGATCAAACGTATATTGACCACAAAGTTTTTAATAATGTATTTAATATTATAAATAATTATCCATACATGACATTATGGAGAATCTTATCCAATCTTCAGTGGCGCGTTTAGTCTATGACACTTGGTGCCACTGAAGATGGGATAAAATTTTCGAAACGTGTCGTCTGGATAATTATTTACAATATTAAATTTTATTAATAACTTTGTGGTTCATATCTCTTGAATTCTTACTAAGCGTACTCAGATTTGGCCCGAGAAAATATTTTAACGAAACTGATTTCGAAAAACTTATGAAGACATCAGCTAAAACAATACAATGAAGACGCAATAAATAGTCAGAGTAATGGAACGAAAACCAACTGAAATAGGCATTTTAGAAATTAATTAATAAGAAATGTCATTTTAAAACAGTAATTACATTTTGAAGACGTTTTACGAAAATAAATGTTAAAAAGTTTACCTATGCAAGAACAAATAACTTTTTATATAGTATGTAGACTTCGGTGGAGAACGGCAAACTTTTCTAGATCGTTGGAAGGTGCAGAGGGAGGAGAGCTTGGTCGTGGCTTAGAACTGTGTAGTCGGAGAATTGGGTAGTTACAGAGACCAAAAGCGCGGGGGAGCTGCAGGGGCAAGTGATTCGCGGGAAATAAGTTATTTCAGGAAAATATAAATGTTAAGTTCAGACACAAAACTGGTAGAAATAAACACGGACGGAGGCATAAAAATTAAATAAGAGAAAACTGAATCAAATATCCGTTTCGCGAGAAACAAACTATGTACGACAGACTGTACCAAACACAGTAGTATCTTAAATGAACTCTATCTTGAGTAACTAAGTACATTGCCCGCAATTTTGAAGCTCAACTTTACTAATGATTGGTTCAGAGAACTAGGGGCAAGCATAACATTTAGATCTGATGACTAAGTATACATAATTTCGAATGCATCTCCCATTTACTTACAATAAATAGGGTCCGAAGGAGTAAATTCAAATTCTTAAATGAAAGTTTCACAATGCCCGGATATGTTCAAATCACAGATTACAATGTCCGCAAATGTATGATCTATTTGCTATAGATTTAAATAATTTACAGAGGCAGCAATTTGCAATACATTTTTCACATAAAGAATGTTTTTTGTGTCATGATATTATGTAACATGGCACTTCAATAATTAAAACACAATTATGTGAGAACAGGTGCTAGTACACTTTTTAAATCCAATATAAGAATTGTAGCTTGAAAAGATTAATGTGAAAAGCTGAATTTTAACTCTTAGCATTGATTGAAACTACGGTTTTCATGCTTTTGCGAACATTATTATACCACATTATGAAAATTTGAAGAGTTATTGTTGTTAGGAGATGTTGAACAACCATATAATCACATTATCATTTGGCTTGTGCGTTGACTACGAATTAATGAATTCAAAAAGTACTGTATCAATAGAAATAGCATTTAAGTAAAAGGCCCTTTTCCTTATGATAAATAAAGGATGTTGTCTGGTATCAATAATTTTATTAAGCTTATGATCGTTTCGATCGCATAGCGATCATCCTCAGACCTTGCAGCTTCCGGGCCGAAAACAAAGTTCTGCCGTTGGCCGAACTATTGCTTTCGGCCCGGAAGCTGCGAGCTCTGAGGGCGACCGAAAGATCATTAGCTTAATAAAACTATTGATACCAGACAACATCCTTTATTTATCATAATAATAGAAGGTATCTACCTCACCAGCGATCTAATTAATTAATTAGTTAATCCCTATTCCTTTTTTTACAAAACGTATTCCCCCAACGGTCCAAATACTTATTTTCTAAAAACAATGCGATGGTATTATGTATGAAGTGGTATTATGTAAATCATGAAAATTTTAGAAATGATATTTCAAAATTATTTATACATGTTTTCTATTTTACTTTTACACTCGTGATACACAGTAGGATTACATCATTATTTTGGATAACAAAGGATAAAATGTATCTCACGAGGGTCAAAAGTAACACTCAAAAGTAGTCTAGAGATGCAACTGGTGAAGATATTGCTGCAAATCAGCTAATAATATACTGTAATGATTATTATCTTATTTGAAAATTATCACAGCGATCCATTTGGCAATACAGAAGTACATTATGGTGTTCATAAATTATACATTTCAGGAGCATTTTATTGAATTGATTTGAAATATCAAACCAGTCAAAGGTGTGTTTTTCGAAAACATGATGTATCTATAAGCCCTCTTGCTGTTGGCCGAGAGCAGATGATTAAAACGCGCGCAAAATTGGTTCTTAAGGAAGACACATAGGTATGTTAAATCGGCGAAGGCTACGTAGTATGATTGACACTGGAATGCGGTTGTAGAATTTTTCGCTATGTGTGTGTGTGTGAGGGTGGCTAACAATTCCATATCGATGCCGAGATCCGTTGGGAACTTTCTATACCACGGAGTTGCCTTATGAGCATGGGAGCCTACGAGCAGCACATTTTCGGCGCTAGGACGGGTCTGGGGAAAGGGTGGGGTAAGAAGAATGGCACACGGTGTCGGCTCGTTGGCTAAGGGAACTGTTAGGCCGTCTGGCTGCAATTGATCGATGCACGGAAACGGGCGGCGGCCTGGCTCTCGAATTCGCGGCGGTAGTCGCCTCCATACTAGCTACTGAGCTGCGGCCAAACTCCGCCTCCGAAGGCCCAGCACCTCGCGGTCTACAAAGCATCAGCTGCGGTCTCGAGACTACGTTACTTAGAAAGTATTTGGGGTAGTGATGTGCGAGACTGGTGTTCTTTGTTTTAAGTGATAAACGAAATATTACACAGAAGGTACAATACAGATTGTAAGTGTTTTCCTTCTCGCATACTACTTACGGAGTACAGAGAAAGTTATGTAATGCCTCTGCTAACCTAAACGACAATCTTTCGTCATAAAAATAATATTGTAGGCTAGTTACGGAAAAAGTGGATAAATATTATAAGAATGTGGGTAATTCCTATATTAGATTCCTTATCACGTTGAAGTGGATCCTTGATACCAGAAAATTGGTTTACGCCAAAACATTAGCCAGTGAACAACGCTGGCGACACCACCATACACAGGTTTTTCACAAAACCTGATATTGCGAAGCTCATCTGGCCGTCGCGGCCCCTTGAATTTGATTTTCGGTGGTGGGGGACGTAGGTATAAGACAAGGGCATTTTCAAAATACTCAAAACTAGCTCCATTTTTTCCTTTAAGACATTGAGCAAAATAAGCTTCTGAGAATGGGAGGGCAAATGATATGCTGCATACTTCCTGTAGACAATATTTCCAAATTATTTATTTCCATATAGGGGACTTTCCTTCTAAAACTCCAATTCATTAACTTAAGTCTAACAAGCAAACTGCAAATAATGTAATATTTATATAACAATAAACCACAAATTAAATTAAATAATTCATAGTTTATACCTTTTTCTCCAAAAATAGGTTCGGATAATTGAAAGTTATTTTACAATTCTCAATGTCTTAGAACTCCACAGATAGGTACATTTTGATGATATAAACACGACCAAAAGTTTGAATCTTCATGCAGGTTTGCATGAATTTCTTGAGATTCATAGGAACGCCAAAGAAACCCCTAGTACCGAAGACCAACACTTCCACAATGCATACAGACCTCACGCAACCCCACAGACATGCATTACGCGCATCCCCCCCCCACACGCACGCACGCACGCACGCACGCACACACACACAGGCGCACAGAGGGGCCAAAGACTTCGCTCACCTTGTGCGGCGACCCGACGCGCAGGCGCTCGCAGGGCTGGCCGGCGCCGCGCAGGAAGGCGGCGGGCGGCGGCGGCGAGGGCGACTGCGACGGCGGCGATTGCAACGGCGGCGGCGCCCGCCCGCGCGCGCCCGCACCTGGCGCCCACGCCCTGCAACAGCACAGTCAGGTCCACCGCCGCCATGCGGACTCTATTTACAGCTGCATCACGGCGCGAAAGGGGCTCACGAGGGAACGATGCTCACGCAATGACTCCACATGACGGTTGGGTGGCGCCCATCAAAGCACGCACGCTCACCGAAAGCAAACACCAATAACACTTGCACTAACAGTGCCTGATTCCGCGCTGCTCGGGGGAACGGGAGCTGCTAGCCGACGGACGATAACAAATCGATGGCCCGATCGGTTGTTGAGGATGGAATGTATTGAGATTGTTCACTGTTTCAGCAGTTGGCGGTCACCATCATTATTTGCCCATAACCGCCATTACGAGGCGTGAAACGATCGTAACAGTGTTACTCGACAATTACCCGTCGCCGGTCATTCAAATGAATCTATTACGCGGTAGACGGCATTTGAATGAAACGAATTTCACGAGAGACCAATCGAACTCGAGGAGTTAACCGATTTTTTAAATGCTCCCTGACGCGCATTTTAGCGCGTGTCCATTCGTAATTTTTTATTGCAGAAAGTGGTTTCTTTTTCATTTTGTCTTTCAGTTGAAAACACGAATTACAATGTTCTATTAATTTCTTGCGGAATAAGCTCTTCAACCCTTATGGATAAAACCACAACAGAGAAAACACAAATGGTCACAAGTAAAATTCACTACAACATTAAACTCTACAAAAGTATACAAAAAACGAAACAAACGTTCGACGGGCATCTCTTCCTAGTAGAAACAAACCCAATTCCAACATTTTAAAAACTTATGACCAGCATGTACTAACTTAGGATCTCATCACATTTGATGGTCGGCTCTCAATGAGCGATGACAATCATGGATTAAGCAGTTGACTATCGTCGTTCTTCACAAGTTATGCAACCCGTCAGCCATCAGTGTTCTAATCTCAGGAGGATGCTGTGTCGCTGGCCGAACATTTCCGTGCCGAGTGCCCAAATTTGCATGTACTTTACAACGAAACTGTCTGTCCAAAGATTGAATAAAGTCCTCTTGAGATATAAATCTTAAGAAACACAATAATAATAATAATAGTAATAATAATAATAATAATAATAATAATAATAATAATAATAATAATAATAATAATAATAATATATTCAGGAGAGTCTATTCTGTCTCGCCCATTTACAGGGCGAATCTTTCTTCGAAATGGACAGATTCTCTTGAATTATAGACGAAAAACGTCTGCACAATTATGATGTTCACATGAAACGTGAATACCTTTCTAAAAGGTTGGCTGGAAATTAATATCTTTGCTAACCCCAGTGAGCAGGTAGTGCAAGTAATGTACACCCATTATCGGGTTCACGTTTTCGCACATTAGATAAGAAACAACGAACAATCGGATGATGTGCCAGAATGGTGAAAATTACCTGATAATATATTAATTATTAATGCACGCAGGACAAGCGTTATTTCAATTGATCTGGTATTAGGCGATGATAATACTATCCTACATGCAGACGTCATGCGCTTCTATTCAGCAAATAAGAAATATAATTTAACAAAATGTGCATAATATTCAATATATATTAATTGCGAAAGCCGATTTGCAGGCTCCACTTAACGCTAACGTTAAGTTTAACTTAAATTAACGTTAACGTTTAACTTAACGTTAAAAGAAAAAGGTAACACAAGAATGAATGAAATTGTAATCAGGGTATACTTGGCACGCGAGTGAGGAACTCTCGAAACGCCTAATCATAATTCACTGATGTTTGTGAAAATTGCACCACCAAGGAGATGTCTGAGAATTGTTTCAGGAGTCCAATAGAAGAAAATATACAAAAATCGTTATTTGAACAGCAATTCATAGTTCTCCATCGTCTTCAAAACAAAAAAGAAAAATAATGGTGATGCATGATCACAAACACATTCAGATAAATCTGTTAATGCCATAAAGGAAACGATATAGTTCCTTCTGACCGCATCAGCTACTACGGAGTTATTTGATTTATATTTTTGAATGAAAATAAAATGAAAGACAGAAAGGCTGGCTAAAAATAATGTACAACACACGTAGCAAAAGTGATTCTATGATTCTCGTAGGTTTGAGCCACTAGGCCTCGTGTCGCAACCCTTTTTACTCGCAAAATAAAATATCACGTTTACCACCCGTATAATAACTATTAGTATATTGGTAAATACATGAACATTAGATATCAAATTTTAAAAAAATCCTTCAATTACACTGCAATTTATTCTCCGGTCCGCCGTTGACTCTCCTTCCCCACTAGTGTTCTCCGGGGCCCGTGGACACAATGGTATGAGACTGTTAAGAGAAACACTGTTTGAACTACACATACTGAAACATAGCAAGTACATCTTATTTTGTTCTGACTTGGTGAATTTTACTATAAAGAACGCGTGATAAGGCCATGTTACACCTTCTTAAAAAACTATCATGTACTTTCATCTAATCGTGAATTTCCGTTGAAACACAGCCTTCTATATTTGATACACTAACGACAGAATATGCTTGTGAATTTGTGTCTGAATAATATTCGATACGCTCTCCTGAAAAGTTGAAGCACACTCCACCTTCATCACAAATGCTTCACACACACAAATATGTCGAACGAAGCATTCACGATAATCAATTTCATCTTGAAGAATTAGGAAAACACAGCCACGTCCTTGAATGGAATGAATCAATAAGCGAAATCCGATACAAAACCTATAAATAACCAACATGTGAAATCAAATGCAGTGAGTCAAATGGATGTCGACACTTTTATGGTTATAATCAGTGTTTCAATCTTCAGGCTCAACTGTATTTCCACTTACAATAAAGGGTTTTGTATTTACCTCTACATTTTTATTCACTCAATCAATTTGTATCCAATAACGCGTGATGAAATTTTGAAATATTGTTTCTGCAATTACTCGTGCCATAGTGTCAAACGTGTTTAAATTAATTATATAGTGCATTGGTAGAAAACAAATTCAATTTCGAATTAAAACTTATACAAATGACACTTCCTACTAGTTCCAACTCCGCTTCAATACTCTTGCAAGTGTGCTTCATAATCCTCTTCATTAAATAATCAGCTTTCTCGCTTCTAGGTCACCGTCTACGGTACGCAAAGAGCCATTCAATAAAGCTCGCCAATTATCTTCTCCTTTTAGTCCAAGAAAATCCACAAAAGAATCCTGAACATTATGTATAAGTTCAAACACGCTTTCTGAAGCCAGTCACTTAAAGAAGATGAAAAAGATGATGGACGCTCCATTATCGATAACGTCCATTTAATTACATTAGACGACCAGATACTTCGCATTTCCAAGGCGGATGCTTGATTTATTAAAGTGCCAGTCAAGCGACGTCGATTAATTACTAAATGAACACCACGAATGAATACTTAATGAAACAGAGGAAAGTCGGGTTAATTTTTCACTTCGTGCTCTGGCAGATATCACACGTCAGGAAGTAGCTTTTCAGACGCAGAAAAAAAAGGAGTAAGAAAATCAGAAGATAATAAGTGTTACCCAACTCCATTTCGCAGAGCATTCAGCAAATTGAAGACGACACGAAAACTCCACCTCTCGGCGTTTCGTGCCGTGGGCGATTTTTCTCGCCACGCGCGCCCCTCGCGGCAGGAGCCGGCCCTTTAGCCGCCGCTCTCTTTCCCTCCACCGTAAGCTCGCGTAAGCTCTACTTACATTCTGTCGTCTGTCGTGTTGTCTGAAGTTGCCGAGTTCAGAAGTTCCGGGCCCTTCCACGCGTCAGGGTAGGAACTGCTTAAAAACTTCTCGTGGTACACCGCGAACTCGTCGCTCTTGCCTGCCAGGGGGCCCTGCAACACACAACAACCACTCCGGTGAGCTTCGCTTTTCACGGAAGGCGATGGCGTGATCCTGAAAGACGACTGCTTTCGCCAGGGCGCTGTCACCGCTCAATAAACTCTTTGATAAAATGTAATTGATGGTGAGGTGCAAACTATCACTACGTAGCATGCGTGGAAATTTTACATATTGAAAAGAAAAATGTTTCAAGTATACAAACTGACTTAAGACCCATAAAATGCATTAAATACATTGGTTTATTAAATATAATTGTATATAATAAAAAATATAATAATAAAATTGTTTTTAAAGTAACAGTTGAATTGGAGCGTCGTGACGTGTTGTGAAGTGTAGTGCAATAGAGAAGTAGAGAGAGAGAGAGAGAAGTGCAGCATATTTATTAGTTAAAAATTCCGTGCAGGACAGTCATAAAGTGTATAGGTAACGTTGTTATTTTAATTATTATTATATTAGTGTTATTATTGCCTTAAAATGCTTTAAAATTACAGTGTAGTACTACTATTAGTTGTAATATGTAAATTGTAGTGTTCTGCCACAAGATTGTATACCTACCTGCAGAAAAAATACATCTATCTATCTACCTAAAATAAATTGCATTACAGTGACCAGAAAGCAAAACAAATGGATACTATTTTTACAGCTTACAAAATTCACAAAAAATGAAAACAATAACCCACTACAATATAATAATTAAATCTATATAAACGAACTAATGCTAGGCGAACAAGACTGTCACTGCACTTCTTTCATTAAACATTTTAAATCCTCCAATGTGCACCACATTCGAGTCAGAACACGATTTCAGCTTACAAGACGAAGACTGAAAAGTTAATGTTCCATCTCGCTTAACTTTCTATTCTTCTGTGCTATCTCGAGTCCCTTCAATGTTCTACTTCATTGGTCAGGCCTCACTAAGTGCGTGAAGGCAGTGTCATGGGTACTAAACAAGTAAGATTGCTTGCCAATGAGAAGCATGAATGTGGAAGAATGATAATTAAAGAATGGGAGACCAGTAAACATGTTAAAAAGCAAAGAAAAACAAAGTAGGCTGTCTTCATAGTCAATTAATTACGAATGGAAATAGAATCCCAAAGATTACCCAAAATCTTGAATAATTGTCTTTCAGTTATTTAAAACGCATCCAATACTCCAACTATTAAAATCTTTCTATTCTTTCGGCTTTACTCAAAGCTTTCATAGGTTTTACTTTTCTATAGAAACCGATCACATCAACCCATCACCAGTGAACATGTAGTAGGAAATTCCATAAGACGCAGTTGCACATGTGCCATAGTAAATTCGACAGATCACGTCAAGGAGAATATTTGTACCTGCTGAACATCTATGGAAATGGAATTGCCGAACAAACAGGGGAAAATGTCAATGAATATGCATGTACCTCCTTTATGTTCAACATCCTCTTCATGTTCATTTGCAAAACAGTTATCTGCGGGCAATTTTGTCTGAGACCCATCGGTTGACTACGACGCTTGTCCACTGTTTAAAAGATGACGGGGAATTTCGAAAGCAAATCTTCTAAAAAACTAAATTTTCTTATCACTGTAAAGGAGTAAGATGTACCGCGATGGATTCCAAATTTAAAACGTCGTCAAATATGTAATGAAATTTGGAACGTGACGAACATGCATGCTTTTTTATAAATAAGATGTATTATTGAAGATTGTGATAGCGATTCAGACGAGTGTCATTAAATTCATACGATTACGAATGACAGCGAGTACAACGATTTAATCGTATGATAGTGAATATAGTGAAGCCAATGTTTGTGGTCTTATTTAAGTGAGCAAAAAACGAATAACAATATACGAGAAGGCTGATATGGGCAGGGGAGTTACATATTTTCGTATCATTAGAAATATATCGTAGCAACATGGTAATTTGGAAAAATGTAATTTTAACATCTGGGAACCAAAACAACATTTGATAATGCCGGTCCGTATGGTCGAGATCGCTAAGGCAGTAGTGCCGTAGCGATATCAGACCGAAGGATCGCGGGTTTGAGTCCCGCCTCGGGGATGGTTGTATTGTGTTCGTCCTTTCACACCCCTATCATCAACATATCGTGTCATCCTCATAGTTACGATACCGTTACACGCAATAGTGGTCGCTAATGACCTAGTAGTTGATGCGATCTTAAATAACAAAAAAAATTGATAATAAATATTAATTATTCGGGAGGTTACGGTTCTGTGTATGAATGAACAATTGACTAAACAGAAATGCTCAAATATAAGCCATAACTCCGCATTACCTATTTTAACAGCTGTGAAATTAGTTGCTATGAATGTAAGTGCGTGCTTTATACATGAATTACAAAAATACAATAATATTCTATTATGGACAACCGGGATAGCCGACGCCGCGAGCGTTTTATCTGCCTCAATTCCAAGAGTCGTTGGTACCAATTCTACCCTGTGTACGGATATTCCAACTTGTTCATATAATTTTAAAAATAATTTTATAAAGACGTCACTTACTCTTCGTTCTATAGTCACTGCTGTAATAATGTGGGCAACAGTTCCCTTTTGATCAATTGATTGTTAGTGGTACCGGGCGTGTCAACTACTGAGGTCATTAATCCCGTAAGTGTTGTGTATGTTTCCACTCGGGGAAGGGTCTTCCTCCGCTGTATGGCGAGAACTGGCGCCGTCCTACAGTCTGCTAGAGGGGGGGGGGAGTTATCAACCAAGTATCTCCCACCAACGGGGCACAGCCTCAGCCGGGACAAGCTCTAAGCTCCCGACAGGTCTCCCGGCATATATATGGTAGGGTAGTACATGTAAGTGTGTGTGTGTCTAGCAAGAGTGAGGACAAAGATGATGAAGGAAAGATTGCGCGCGGTGCGTGGCTCGTTTGTGTAGGTACTGCTCCGGCATTCGCCTGGTGTTGATCGGAGAAACCACGGAAAACTACCGATCAGTTCGGCCGCTAGAAATTTCGTCGAGACCGCGACTGACTTCGTCCTAGCTAGTGTCGAAAATCCTGTCACCGTCGGGAGTCGCACTGGGTCCTCCCGGTCAGAAGAGCAGTGACATCTGTCGATGCCCTGACCCGCATCTCCCGGTAGCTCTCCTTTGAAATTTTCAGTCAGATGTGTTTGGAAAAAATAATATGTTGACGTCATTTCACACCAAAGTTAAACAAATCAAAAAATAAAACAAATGATTTATTTATTTCTTGCATTCAATTTTGTAACTGTTCAAATCCTAATTTTGATAGACATAATATTAATAACTGTAAGTACAACGTACGTTAATTCACGATACAGAGTCCATTCAACCCCAATTGAAACCGCTTGTACGCGGCTGTAACTTCCTGCAGCTGTCTGTGAGAACTTCCGACTCACCACGGAAGATAGATTCATTATTCACTGCCCAGCAAACAGTTGAGCACGGAGATTAAACAATGTTACACGGGCCGGGAAATACAAATAGGAAAGAGGGAGTGTAGAATTAACACACAGGTAACTACGAATATACATATGCGTGGCCAAGGAATAGTCTGTGTAGCAGTAAAGAACAGGCTGGATAGATTCACAAAAATGGAGCGTTGCAGAAATGAAACAGGCACAGGAATAAACATCTACGAAACCTTCACAAATAGGAATGGGAGAGTAAATGATACACTTTTCAGGAGAAGAGATGATTGCTAAGAAAGATATTACAGAGGAAAATGAAAGAATAAAGTAGAAACATGTTTATTTCGGATACATGAGTTGATGTATCTGAAAGCCTACTTGTTAACTAACATTTCACAATTTCAACAGCACGGGGAATACGCCATCTGGTGGCTCAGAGCGAAGTAGATCGCCTTTCATCACATTCGATTCCCGTTGAATCACGGATAATCTATTGTGAAATTTGTTCCAACAAAACCAGTTTGGCTTCTTTTTGACAAGGACTAGTCTAACCAAGGGAAGTGTCCTAAACCCTACCCCAATCCTAATTCCTTCCCTATTCTAGACGCTGGGAAGTGTCGCAAGAGCGCATGAAGGAGGCGCGTACGCGGAGATGCTACCTGGCGGTCCTCTTGACAACTGACTGGGACGGGACGCGACATTAAATGACAAAGTCAATGGAGGATTTATTCCTAAGCGTGATTATTAATGCAGGATTACTCTCACGTGCAAAGCGCTCAACGCCCCCCCCCCCAGAGAACACATATTCATGGGAACACTTTAGCAGATACAGTACATGTTGCACTATTTCCCCACATAATCGTCCCCAGAACCGAGACATTCGTCATAGCGAGGGATCAACATTTTATATCCCTATGTCGTCGAAGTCTGCCACCTGGGATAGATGCCACTTTCTGAGAGCTACCTGTAACACTGCGTCACTGTGAAACATACCGCCAGTGGTCTGGATCTCGCCCCCTAGCGATTTCCACATTTTTTTTACACTTATTACACCCCAGCAAATTTGCGTTAGTTTTACGCGTACCAAAGTTTGCTACAATATCGTTTTTTCTATGAAATCGTGTTTTCTCTTTGTTTAAGACCTACGGAAACATACTTTCACGACGCGGCTCGTAGCTAGGCCAAATTCAACCGCTGTTTGCAAGAGAATTCTAGCGAGTGCTCTGATCGGTAGTTCTCCATGGTTTCTCCGATTAATATCTGACAAATGCTGGAGCTGTACCCTTACAAACGGGTCACGAACCTCGAACGATCTTTCTTTACTCTTCTTTGTACCATTCTCACTTCTTACTTACACGCACACACTACCACACATGTTGGGAGCTTAAAGCTTTTCTCGGCCAGGGCAGTGTTCCGCTGGGGAGATACCTGGAAAAGGAAATTCCTGCAAGCAAACTTGTAGTCCAGCGCCGAATGCCACCAACCAGAGGAGAAGGAATCATCTCCACCTCCAGGGATGAAACATTTACTACACCAGCGGGACTAACAACCCTGGCAGTCGGCGTGCCCGGAAACGTCAATCACTGAATCATGAGACAACGAAGTAAGTGC